TTGAGGCTTTGGGGGGGGTTTCTTTTAAAAAGCACAGCACAGCCGAGTGTTGAAGAAACTGCCCGAGATGCTTTTTGCAGGGGAGAGGGGATGCCATACCCACAACTTTTATCCCTTTCCCACCCACCCCCGCATGTCCGGGCACTACGTTGGGGGAACTTGGGCGTGACTGGTCTTGAACGCAAGTCCCCCCACGCCCACCTCCACGCTTTTGCAGATTGGCTGGCTGTGGAGCATGGGCCCTTTTTGAAGCCGGGTTGAGTCCTTCCTTGGGGTGGATGCCCATACACGAGGGGCACAGGCTAGGACCAGGTGCCCTCATCTGTTTCTCCCAAAGGTGCTTTTTTTCCTCCAAGAGGCAACTGGACTTTCTGCTTTTTCTTTGAAGACTTTTCACTTCTCCTCCAAGAAGCTTCTTCAGCTCCTCCAGAAGCTTCCTCAGAGCTGAAGAAGCTTCCTGGAGAAGTGAAAGGTCTTCAAAGAAAAAGCAGAAAGTCCAGTTGCCTCTTGGAGAAAAAAAGCACCTTTGGGAGAAACAGATGAGGGCACCTGGTCCTAGCCTGTGCCCCTCGTGTATGGGCATCCATCCCAAGGAAGGACTCAACCTGGCTTCAAAAAGGGCCCATGCTCCACAGCCAGCCAATCTACAAAAGCGTGGAGGTGGGCAGTGGGGGACGTGCGTTCAAGACCAGTCACACCCAAGTTCCCCCAACATAGTGCCTGGACATGCGGGGGGGGAGGGTAGGTTGGTGGGCAAGGGATAAAAGTTGTGGATATGGCATCTGCCCTCCCTGCAAAAAGCATCCCCGCCTTTGCATCGGGTGGTTTCTTTAACCCTCGGCTGCACTGTGCTTTTGCAAAACAAGCCTGCCCTCAACCTAAAGCGGGTGTGTGGACAGCTGTTGTTGCTACTCATGCTGTTGCTGAGCTCCTGAAGAGCCATGCTCATGCTGGCAATCCGGAGGGCAAGGGGAAGAAGTTTCTCTTCTGCCTTATGACCTCCTCTGCTCCTCCTTTACCCAAAGCGAGATGCAGCTAGCAGTGCCCGCGGTGGCCCAGGGCCAAGGTGGCCTATTGTAAAGTTGGGCCCCTTTTCTGTGCCAAGCGGGAAGGGAGTGTAAGCAAAGGAGGAGGCTGAGAGCCAGGCGGAGGAAGGGGGAAACCCTAGCAAGGGATGCCTGCCGCCAACTATAAGCCAGTTGATCAGGGCAGCATGCTGCAGCCCCTCGTGCCGCGCTTTACCCCACGTGCAATCCCTTTATTGCAAAATGAAGAAATTTGTCATCTGCTCTCATGGAAAGCAGCATTCATCAAATCAATGTAAATCAACGTAAACCAATCTCTGTAGATTTTGCAATGAGAGAAAGAATGCAAACGGAAATGGCAGCATGTTATGAATCCTACATGCACTCATAACAACAGTATGAAACTAGAACAGATGCAATTTACTATTCAGCTTAGAAGGCTAGCTTGTTATTAACTACATTTATCATCTAGGCTGGAGAACAAGTGGCTATTTCATGATCTCTTCTTTATTCAGAGATGTCTCTAAATAAATTTAAATAACCCAACAGAAATTTCATTTTAACATTTTTTTTTAAGTATAACACAGTGGCCTGAATGCAGAACTGCAGGCTAACTCTGCCCACAGCTAGGAATTCGATTCTGACCAGCTTAAGCTTGACTCAGCCTTTCATCCTTCCAATGTGGGTAAAATGAGGACCCAGATTGTTGAGGGAAATATTCTGTCTGTAAACCGCTCAGAGAGGGCTGTAAAGCACTATGAAGTATATACCGTATTTTTCGGAGTATAAAACGCACCTTAGTTTTGGGGGAGGAAAATAGGGGGGGGGGGAGAATTCTCCCTACCAGGTATTCATCTGGCTAGTCCTTAGCCTGGTCAACTTCAGCACATTAGTTTATTCACTGGTTTTGAGGTTGGGGATGGTGGGGGCTGTGCTTCTAAAGCACAGCTGATTGTTGGAGGGAACTCCAGTGACTAAAGCAAGCAAAGCGGGGAAGGGGTAAGAGAAGGCAACTTTTCCGGGTAGCCATTTTGGACACCATGCATTGAGCATTTGGAGGCTGAAAGTGCAACGCGTGGAGCCCAAAATCACAACCCATTGTTGGTGGCAATTTCTGCAGCTAGGAAGAGTACACGCGGAGGCCAAAGTGTAGGGACCGGCAGGTGGGAGGGGCTACATTCAGAGTATAAGACGCACCCAAAATTCTCAGCCTATTTTAGGAGGGAAAAAAGTGCATCTTATACTCCAAAAAATACAGTACAGTGCTATTATTATAACCTAAAATTGAACAGTATCAAAACAATGAAGCACAGCTCAGCAACTGCAATGATCTTATAAACAGAGTCTGTTCATTGTTCCTTGTAAATCTTGAGAGGGAACCTTTCAGAGCCCACCAAATATAGGTCATTTCTAGAATATTTCAAGGAAATTTGGATAAAATTTAATTCTCTAGAAAGAAATTATCTTCATGCAATACTGATATATTGTTTTTTCCATTCCCTAATGTCTTTTTAGTGCAATCTACTATCTCCTAATTAATTCCCTAACATCACTAGGTATAGGATGCATTATATTCAATCAATAATTTGTTGTTTTTTATATCCCATCTTGCTGCTGTATCCAAGCACATATATAATCTAATTTACATAAATCTATAAAGAGGGACTTTAACAAAATAATGTATTTTTAGCATATCCCATTAACCAAAACTCTAGGGCAAACAGAAACAAAATTTGAAACTTTTAACCTAGTCAGATTGTATAGACTTGCTTGATTTTTGATAATGTGTTTTGAGGTAGAAACACATTTCATTTCTCATGATGCTTTGTAACATTTAATGAAGAATATGTACAACTATAGAATAAATATATCCTAAAATTAAAAAAGCTTACCTGTCATCCAAGATCAGTTTTATTACAAATTTTGAATATTTCTTAGCCATGTGACATTTAAAAGTAAATTGCTAAGTGTTATTACAAGGAGTCCTTAACTTATGACCACTTTTTTATGACTGTTTGAAGTTATGACGGTGTTGAAAAAATGATTTTATGACCAGTCCTCACACTTACAACTTGTGCAGCATTCACACAAATAAAGTTCAGGTAGTTAGCAGCCAGCATTATATTTACAATGGCTGCAGTCTCCTAGGGTTACATGATTGTCATTTAAGAACTTCTCAGGGCTTCTGACAAGTCAATGGGTTAAACTGGATTCTCTTAATACCTGCAGCATAAAAATAATACAATAGCGTGTGACTCATTTAATCATTGCATTGTTTAGCTTTGTCAAGTCAAGTCAAGAAAAGTAATTTCAGCATCTCCCCAGAATTTCTTAACTTTCCTTTCTTAATAATAGCTATTTTCAAAAGAAAGAACAAAACACCCTTGCCAAGGAATATATTAATAAAATAACCACAGTTAGAACCACATAACATACCAGTAGTAGCCAGAACAACATGAGGTCCACTTCCATAACTGAGGGAAGCTAATTTTTTGCCACAAAAAATATCTATTCTTCGAGGTTCAATGCTGCTCTGTACATCACCAATTCCCAAACATCCACTGCAGTTAGTGCCTAAAGCAAAAACCTATTACACAATAATACTGTCAGTACCAAAATACTTTTATAAGCATATATAATTAAAATATTTAAAAACATCCCAAATACATTTATAGTGAATTTTGAGTTTACATATTTGAAGATATATATTTTAGCCACATTTCTGCCATGTATTCTGCCCTAAAGGAAACCAAAAATGTACATTAATAAAGCCAATTTTTTTATAATAAACATGCAAGTGATGCTTATTTAACAGATGTACAATATTGCATATTTATTCTTTTTTGTGTTAGACTCGGGGAAAAGCTACATATTAAGCAAGGNTCGAATGGTATGGTTGTTGTGTGCTTTTAAACTATGGTATTGTTTTTGTCTGTCTTTTTATTCCTTATTTGTACCCTTCCCCCCTTGACTTGGGTTGTGAGCCACCCTGAGTCCCCTTTGGGGAAAAGGGCGGCATAGAAATATAATAAATTCAATTCAATAATCCACACAAGTGTCACTTGAGTTAGAGATCAAACATTTGTTTCCAGCAAAGGAACTTGGATCAGATCTGCCTCTTAAATCAGGCTGCAGCCAGCTGTCACTAATTAAGAATTATTTCCTTGCTTGGCAAAGTTTCATAGAAGTGTCTGCTCTGCTTTCCTCCTTACTGACTGGGTGCAGACTTTACATCCTCCTCCTCCTCTGACTTTTCCAGCTATTCAAGTGTGCATGTTTTTGAACAGCTTCATGTGATTGATTCCTGGATACTATCATTCCACAGGTTCAGTTCGAATAGGTTCGTCGTAATCAGATGCATAGTCTGAATCCTGGGCCATGACACACTAGCAAATTTTATTTGAATCCTACAAGTTTGATGTACCTCAAAATCTCTGTTTCTGCTATATGCATATAATTATGGGTTTGATCTACATGTATTGGGAGTACAATTGAATTTATAGAAATGTAGCTATTTTTAAAAGTTAGATCTAAGTGAAGAGTATTACAAACTTGAATTAATGTTTCTATTGTTTCTACTTTAGTTATTTAAGTATTGCTATATAATGGATTTCAAACCCTTTCTCACCAGGTAACACCCCCCCCCCCCAACAAGGTGTTTCTGAGAAACCAAAGAGGAAATTATTTCTCTAGGCTTTATATTAATTCTGGCTAAGATTGTTAAAATTATGCTTATAGAATTGGAAATTAGGAACAGGCCTTTCTATTAAAATCAATAGAAAAATGGCATATTTTCATCCCATATGATAGAGGCAATCACAGCCATACTTCATGCTCTACTGCACCACTTATGTATGTCATACTGTTCTATGACTGGAAAATCTGCTAAGATTCCAGAATGGAAGAATTTGTACATTCTGATTAGGAGATCAGTGTCCAGAGAAAATGGGAAAACTGACACAATATTATGCTGAAGTGTGCTTAATTTTTATATATCCGTGAGCTCTAAAAATCTATTTCCTCGTTATATACCATTCAATGACAATAAATCTACTAGGAATATACTAGAATAGTTTAAGACTATGATTTGTTTAAACAAACCAATATCCACATTTTAGATTGGTCAGTTTGAAACAAATCATAGGGTGATTATTGCAATTTCCATTATCTCCAAAATAGTTTGTAGGTGATCTGCAAGCATTTTAAAACTTACTGATCTCCCAAATGTTAAGGAACAAAACTCACTGCACATCCAAACACATACTATCCATTACTTCCTCAAAACTGCAGCATTTCAAAAACCTCCTCTGTTTTTAACATAGTTTCAAATACTCTGAAGCTGAGGTAAAAGTAAATTGTTCCAATTCTTGAAGTCAACAAATGTCATGAGATTACCTAAGCTTTTTAAAGAACTGGCAACAAAGTTAGTGGTGAAAACTTAATTAGGTTCTTTAAATTCAGATGACAAAACAAAGTAATCAAAATCAGAACTGAAAGTTCAAACACCTCGCCCTGCAGGTGGCTGGCTTAGAGAAAAGGCTGATAAATTCATTGGAGGGCTAAGATCATCTCACTGAACCATAATTCATAGCATGATATTGAAAAAAATCGTTAATATAACCCGGATTAATGCCATATACAAGACTGGGAAAGTATCTTGTGATTTCCAGTCACACATTCATTTTCAATGAGAGAAGCTGGCATTAGTAGCACAAGTAGGACCACTATTCTAGAATATTAATTAATCTTACTGTTCTTGGAAATGTGGATAAATTAGCAACTACAATCATAAAGAAGTAAAATCATTCTAAGTAAGTATTAGAAACGTATTTTGAATAAGAATCTACAATTCAATTGAACTTTTTTTTAATAAAAACATACATTGATACTTAGCATTAATAAAAAAAGGAAAGCTGTAGTTGCAAGCTTCCCAGTAACTTTGATAAAAAACAGAGTATTGTTTTATATGAAATATCAGTATAGAAAGCAAATTCAAACACAGAAAGTTTTTTTTAATAAAAGCTGATGCAAAATTTATCACACAGAGACCCCTTTATTCAAATCCACATCAACGTTGAAAGATCCGCAGGGCATAACACTAGTAAGCCATTCACTGGTGAACAAAGCAGTGACCAAAGCACTCTGGTTCAGATTCAAGGCGGGTTCTCACTATGTTTAACACTTTTCTTCTGCAGCTTGTCCTAAATTCATACAAATTTAAATTAAATTTGTTATTTCACAAACTTTTGGAAATAGATAACATTGCAGTTCCAAAGTAATATATTTTAAATGGGATTTGAATTAAAACAGTATGAAGAATCTAACTTATAATTAAAAGTGAATCTTACGCTATAAAAATATATATTGAAATATTGGAATTTAAATAATGTATAAAAAGGACATACTGTGGTCTAATTTGCAAATAACAGTGAGACATGATTCTTCCCACTCTAATAATTTTCTAGTTGTGCGTGCTGCATTCTGATTAGCTACTGCAACCAAACAGGTTTAGCTTCAGACTTTGCCTTGACAAGCCAGGAGTTCTTAAACTGTCCATGGTTTGTACAGATTTAGATCCTAGAGTTAACATTTGGGTTAAGCAGCATTTTGATTTTTAAAAAATATATCACTCAAGAAAGCAAACTACATTAAAACATTTTGTTCTTGAAGTTTCTAATGCTAATTCCTAAATGTAAGGTTAAGCTGCTAGAAAATTATGTTTGTAGCTCTATCTGACCAAAAATGTATATAATTGCACTTTTAAGTAGCATAAAAGAACAAGCTTTTTATTGTACTCTTAAATAAAAGTGAATTACTGATATTGTGATATTACTTAGGTACCTAGGAATGTACACACTTAATGACTCTAATTGGGATTGGGATTTCCATTACTTAGTGATGCAGTCATTAGGCCAAATATCATGTAACTGCACCACTTAGTAGTGATACTTTTTGGCAATCCTGGTTGCAGTCATTAGGTCAGGACCTCACACTTCTTCTACCTTGCTGCACTCACTTCTGCCTGAACTCCCATCCATTCCCTATCACTCTCCCCCCCCCCCCCTTTAGCCACCCTGCACTTATTTCCCTGTTGCCCCTACCAGTGGATTTCCCTGTCTTCCCTCCTGCTGCTGCTGAGGTGTCTCCAGCCTGGCACTTCATGAGGAAGCTGCTGATCACACACAGCCTTCCTAAGGCCTTGATGGCAAAGGTCAGCTGGGGACAGCAGGGGCAACTGAGCTGAGGACAGCTAAAAGAGCAAAGATTGAGGGAGCTAGGTGGGTTGGGTAAGTTGAAGTATACCTTGTGGTCATAAATGTGGGCAGGCTCCCAATTGCTTAAATTTTGATCCTGTAACCACAGCTGGTCAACTTTGATGACCAGCTGTAACTACCAATCATTTAGTACTATCATAATTTTCAACAGTTGCTGACTGAATAGTAATAAGCAAGAGATACTTGTAATTTCTGTTTCATGGAGAAAACCTGTACTAGTTTCGTCCAAACTTGGTTGAATAATTTGCCTGGAATTTGCCTGTCATGCAGACAGAAGAGCTTTTATATGTTCTCCAGATGATAAAGGAGAATAGGAAATTGAATTAAACTTCTGTAGTGTTCATTCCAAAGTCAGTAAATTGAATCTCGTTAAGATTGGACTTTATGTCAATATAAGATTATCAATTATGATTTAAAACAGGTTAAGGCTTTGATTCAGAATTTATCGATATGAAGTTACCTGGCAGAAGAATTCCTAGTCTTTCTTGAATTGCCTCCAAGTGTGCAATGTATTCAGTTAATGAATCTTCAGTATCTTTTGATGAAGTTTGTGAAGTAAAACTGGTAGACCTGTTCAACAGAAATTATATTTTTCCTTAAAAATATTACATATCTTAGAAAATATATAAGTAGAAAAATACAAAAGGATGTGACTTACAACTTATTACAACTTATTCTTAAAATATGAAATTATTTTAAACATTGAAGCATAGTCCTACAATGTACTTTGTCCATAGATCAATAAAACAGTATCTCTACAGTAATTAGTTAATTTAGCATATTTTGATGGAATACATGGTTTAGTAAACCTTGGTAAAAATATCACAGGTTGAAATGGGAACTGAACTTTTCAGATCTGTTTATTCCAATGTGCATCATTTTCAAAATTGTTGAGCTTTGTAAAACTGCCAGTAAATATGAAAAAATAACCTGACATTCTACATTACATTTCCAGCAATTTTAAGCAAATGAACTATCCGTTTTAGCAATCAGAACTAGAGTAACAGCAATACAACTTATACCAATTTTCTCTAAGTATAGTATTTTTTTCTTGAAATTCCCATTGCTGCATATAGATATATTACTGCATCTTAAATCCATTTAATTATACAGTCTTTGTGTAAATCTTGACTTGTTTGATTTCTAAGTCAGATGCTTTGAGTTGCATATTATAAGACAAATCCAATGCAATACAAATCCAGTTAAGTCACTAAGATTTCCCCTTGTTCTCCATTCTTTTAATCCTATATTACTGGTACTTGTCTGAAGACACTGAAACTAGTCCAGTGGACCAAGCCATAGTGAACTAAGAATCTCAATGTTTAAAAGAGGAATTGTCTTGGGCTGTATGTACAATATATAATATAATTAAAATATATAAATGACATAATGATTTATACAATCTTGTGGAACTGCATTACTAGCTAGCCAGGACAACATGACACTTGCAGACTGTGAGGTGGACACACCTGATCTAAATTCATAATCTCTAGTAGTGGTTGCTCTTGATTTATGACCATTCATTCAGCAACCATTTAAAGTTACAATAGTCCTAAATGAAGGACTTACCCAGAAGTTGTAACAATTGCAGTCCCCCCATCACGATAAAAAATGTGGGTGCCTGGTCGCCCACTCACACTTAGAATAGCAGGGAGGCTTTGCCTATCTCCTCACATCTATGCCCTCCCCCCCCCTCTGTAGTTCATGATCCCTGTTGCCTTGCCTTCCAAAGCATACCCAGTTCACCCTCTTTCAAGCAGCTGTTGGCTGCACTAGGCAAGGACGAATGAGGTGGTTTCTTTGTGAGACTTGGGGAAAAACATGGCTTCCTTGGGAAGGACCATGCTATGCTGGACACATCTTGTCAGCAGCAAAATCAAAAAGACAGTGAAAGTCAGCTGGTGCAGCAGAACACAGACAGTAGGTGCCCTGGACAGAAGGTGGTGAGAACAAATGAGGCTGCAGTTCTCCCAATTCAAGGACTTGCTGTGTGGAGAGCAGAGGTGAGCAAAAGTATTCTTTAAGGCTACTTCCAAGAAAGGGAACCTTGTCCTTCTAAATGAACCCCAGGGTTGCTTCTATTTAAAAAGTGCAGTAAACTCAAGCCCTTCTGTTGGAGACAATAGTTTGAAATCTTGTGACTGATTCTGGACCTGGACCTGCAACCCTGCTATGAAATTTGGACTCTTGAACTTTTCCTGATCTCTCTTGTGCCTATTGCTTTGGATTTGAACTCTCTCTCAAGGCAACCTTGCTAGACATTTGGGGAATTAAGTTTGTTTGTGTGTGTTTATGTATGAGATTTGCGACTTGAAAAATTTATTTCCTAGTAAAATTTGCAAACCTTTCTATGTGCTTGTGAGTATGTGGCCTAAGATGAAACAATGGCACTGTTTTCATTGAAGCCATGCTGCTACTTTTCAAATTGCATGACTGAAAGAAATTCTAGAAACTAAAAAAGGAATGTAACCAGTAAGATAGATAATATAGGATAGGACAAAGATGGCTTTATTAAATTCATAGCAATTACAAACATTTAAAGAGAAGACTTGTTTTCCTAGTTAAAGTTTGATATGAAATTTTATTCACATTGTATTTTTATCAACAAGTACTTGAATCATACCATTGAAGCTATGGTATTCATAAATACGGATATAAAACAACAAGTACAAGTAGATAAAGTAATTTTGATATAAATAAACACAAATTTTATTGATCTATAGAGCTGAAAAAGTCTAATTAAGCATAATATAAATATTTTTATAATATTGTTAGTAAAAATAATTCTGCAGAAGACACGGATAGTGAAGTAAGGTGTGCACTAACCTGTTATGTAAATGGTGTAAGGATTTAACTGTGCAGCTTGCAAGTCTCATGAGATTATTTCTGTTGCAGTATTCACCTTCTGGAGCAGCATAACTTGGGAAGGGCTGTGGCTGCTTTTGTACTTCTAAACTAGCTACAGGATCTGTTTTAAGCAATGTAAAATTTTAATCTGAATTGTGAAAATTTCAGGTTATAGCTGTTCCCTCACAAATGAAGAAAAATAAGGATGACTAATACAGTACATTCTATTGTGCAATAAAAAGGTGTGTATAGGTTATGACCATAACAGAGCCTGTCCATTGCAATCAGAAGAGCTGTTAAGTGAACCACCACATTAACAACTGCCCCATCACTGCTCTCCCTAATGCATTTGTTAAATAAATGCATTAAGTGGAGCATGGGATGCCTTGTGGAGGGAGAGGCCTTGGGAGGCCTAATGCAAACCAAGACCACCTGCTTTGAGCTCCCCAAGGTTTCCCCCCACCCTGTGAGATACTTCATATCTCCTTCCTGCCCACAGCCCCATGGGGCTCTTCCATACTCCACCATCACAATTGCACACTTATGTTTTGAGATCTTCAGAGCTCAAGGAAATCAGGGTAGGGAAGAAGGACAGGCTGCTCTGTTGCTGGGCCATGTGACACAATTGAGAAGAAATCCTGTTTTGAAAGGGGAAACCCTTTCATCATCGCTAGTTTTATATATGCTACCACTGAAGAAACTAAAACTGTCTAGGAATGAGAGGAAAATTGGCAGGATTTCTTGTCCTTGCTAGCATTAGCACAGCTAATACTGGGGCAGCTAACACTTTTGCAACTATCAACCATGGTATCCTTTGGCACTCATTTAAGGAATTGGAGGTGGGTAGCACAGTGTTGTGCTTGTTCACCTCCTTTCTCCAGTCCCAGTCAGTGTTAATAGGAAGTGACAAGTCCAGCTCACAGCCCCTTCTTTATGGGGTACCATGGGGCTCTCTCTACTCCTTTTTAGTATCCACACTGAGCCCTGTGGAATGAAACATGAAACTGCTGAGCGAGATTATCTGCCACCATGGGATGAGCTATCAACAGTTTGCTGATGATACTCAGTTATATATCTCTATCCTGGGACAAGTGAATGATGCAGCAGATGTTATTTTGTGATACCTGGAACAGGAGCAGCTGGAACCTGGAACAGGATGGCAGCTGAACTCTGGTGAGATGGAGTGGCTCTGTATATATATATATATA